TTAAGAGGTGAGTTCGAAGACTTACATGTGAAATAAGTCAAAGTCGTCTCTGACTAGTTTACTAAAGTTTTAGTCATTTTTAGTCAATTAAAAAGAGATGGAGAGAAGCTAGAATATGTAAGGATTATGGAGAAATCCTTCAATCTTTAGATTCAAAGTTCAAGCATATTGTTTTCATTATTGAAGAAACCAAAGACATAAAGGCTATGACAATCAAGAAACTCCTAGGGTTTTTACAAGCCTATGAAGAAAAGAAAAAGAAGTAGCAAGTGATCACGGAATAACTCCCGAAGACACAAATTAATTCAACTAAAGAAGAGAGCCTCGAGTATGGTAGAAGCTAACACAGAAGAGGCCGTAGTTGAGGACAAGGCCGTGGTCATGGACACGGATGAGATTGGAGCTCTAATAATGACAATAATAATAATACAAATATTGGACAAGGAGGACGTTCAACAAGAGGGCATGGAAAAGAAAAATCAAGTCTAATGTATGACAAATCTCAATTGATGTGCTACAACTATAAAAAATTTGGTCACTATGCTGCAGAATGTAGAACTCCCAATAACAATAAAGTTCAAGAGAAGGCTAATACGTGGGAGAGATAAATCAACAAGATGGTACATTTCTATTGGCGTATAAGGAGAAAGAAAAAAAGTAAATATAATATATGGTATTTGGACACTGGTGCAAGCAACCATATGGGTGGAAGAAAAAACATGTTTGTGAACTTGATGAGTTGATGAGTGGCAATATATCTTTTGGAGATGAGTCCATGGTTGATGTGAAGGGTAAAGGTAATATTCTTATCTAATTAAAGAATGAAAAGCACCAATTCATTTCTAACATCTATTATGTGTCAAATATGAAGAGTAATATCCTATGTCTTGGTCAACTCTTAGATAAAGGTTATGATATTCATTTGAGAGATAAAAACCTTTCTATAAGAGACAATATGAGCAACCTAATTTCAAAGATACCAATAACAAAGAAAATAATGTTCTTAAAAAAAAGAATGGAATGTTCTTGCTCAATATTCAAAATGATATTGCCAAGTGTCTCAAAGCTTATTATAAAAACCCATCTTGGCTTTGGAATCTTCGATTTGGGCATCTTAATTTTGGAGGAATAGAGTTATTATCAAAGAAGAAAATGGTGAGAGGTCTGTCCTACATCAATCACCCAGACCAGCTATGTGAAGGTTGCTTGCTCAGGAAGAAATTCAAGAAGAGCTTTCCAAAGGAGTCAAATTCAAGAGCAAAAAGCCACTTGAACTCATACATACATATGTATGTGGTTCAATCAAGATAAGCTCTCTCGATAATAGTAATTATTTCCTTCTCTTCTCAGATGATTTTTCAAGAAAATATTGGGTATCTTCTTTAAAGCAAAAATTGGAGGTCTCTAAAGTATTCAAAAAGTTCAAAGCCTTTGTGGAGAAAGAAAGCGGCCTCGAGATCAAAGCTATGCAATCTGATTAAGAAGGGAAGCTTACTTCAAAAGAATTTCAAGAATTTTATGATGCCAATAGAATATGTCAACCGTTGATCATTTTAAGATCTCCTCAACAAAATGGGTAGCATAAAGAAAGAATCAAACTATCATTGATATAGCTTGAAGTATGCTCAAGAGTAAGAGGTGACCTAGGAATTTTGGGCCAAAGCTATTCCATGCGCGATTTACTTATACAATCAATCTCCAACAATAAGCATGTGAGGAATGACACCACATGAAGCATAGAGTGGAAGGAAGCCCGGTATCTCTCATCTAAGAGTGTTTGGAAGCATAACCCATGTATACGTACCCGATGAGCAACGATGTAAACTAGATGACAATAGTGAGAAGAACATTTTCATCGGTTATGACTCCAACTCAAAAGTATACAAGTTATATAATCCAAACACTATGAAGACAATAATCAGTTGTGATGTCATCGTCAATGAAGAAGGAGAACGAGTTTAGAACCCACATGGTGATCATTACAACTTCATTAAGGATGAAGAAGTTGAGTAGACAAAGATGAATAAAGAAATATATGAGCCCAAAACACCACCAACTACACCAACTAAAAGTACTCAAGAGGACCCATCATCTTTAAGTGAAGGGTCAAGCGAAAAAGTATCATGCTTTAGAAGTTTATAGGAAATCTATGAGGTAACTGAGAATCAAGACAATCTCACTCTATTTTGCCTCTTTGAGGATTGTGAACCCGTGAATTTTTAAGAAGCCATGCAAAGTAAGTATTGGAAGGATGCAATGGATGAAGAAAATCAAAGCAATCGATAAGAATGATACATGGTAGCTAATTTTTACTTCCAATAGGACACAAGGTAATTGATGTAAAGTGGGTATACAAAGTCGAGAAGGATGGCAAAGGAGAAATCGAGAAATATAAAGCAAGATTAGTGGCAAAAGGTTACAGCCAAATAGTTGTCATCGACTATGATGAGGTATTTGCTCTTGTTGCTCAACTTGAAACTACAAGGTTAATCATTTCTTTACCAGCTCAAAATAGATGAAAAATACATCAAATGGATGAAAAAACTGCCTTTCTAAAGGAAGTCCTTGACGAGGAAGTCTATATTCAACAACCACCGGGCTGTAAAGTCAAAGGGCAAGAAGATAAGTTTTTGAAGCTGAAGAAGGCTGTCTACAAGTTAAAATAAGCACATAGGGCATAAAACAACTGCATCGACAATTATTTCCTTGATAATAACTTCATTAAATGTCCTTATGAGCATGCCCTCTACATTAAAGTTAAGGATGAGGATATTTTGATAGTATGCTTGTATTTGGATGACTTGTTCTTCATTGGAAGTAATCTATGTAAGTTTCAATAATTCAATGATGTGATGCTAAAGAGTTTGATATGATGGACATTGGATAAATGACATATTACCTTGGTATTGAAGTTAAGCAAAAGGATAAATGCATCTTTATTTTACAAAAAAAATGTGGAAAAGAAATACTCATGAAATTAAATATGAATGATTGCAACCCTATAAGCACCCTAATGGAATGTGGAGGTAAATTATAAAAATAAGGAGAATAACAAAATGGTTAATCCAACATTTTTCAAGATCTTGGTCGTTATCCTGCACAACCTGACATGCACTAGGTTGAATAACCTTTATGCTATTGGAGTTGTTAGTCGTTATATGGAGGCATCAATCACAACTCACTTAAAGGCTACTAAGACAATTCTTCGATATATCAAAGGGACGATTAACTTTGGCTTATTTTATTCATCCTCAAATGATTTTAAGCTTATCAGATATAGTGATAGCGACTGGGTCAAAGACTTGGATAAGCGAAAAAGCACTATGGGGTTCGTGTTCTACATGAGAGACACTATTTTTATTTGGATGTCACAAAAGCAACCAATCATTGCCCTTCCTATTTGTGAAGCTGAGTATATTGCCGCAACTTCATATGTCTGTCATGCAATTTGGCTTCGAAATTTATTGAATGAGTTAAGGTTGTCGTAAGAAGAGCTAACAAAGATTTGTGTCGATAACAAGTCAGCTATCCTTTCAGCCAAAAATCCTATTTTTTCATGATCGAATTAGACATCTCGACACCCACTATCACTTTATCAGAGATTGCTTCACAAGAAAGTATGTACAAACAGAGTATGTGAAGACTCATGATCAAGTAGTTGATATATTCACCAAGCCTCTCAAGCATCTCAGGATAAGAATATTGCTCGGTATAAAAAATCAAGTTAAAGAGGGGTGTTGAAAATTAAACTTGATTAAATGAGCCTTTTAATTGAGTGAGCCTTTTAATTAAGCTCAATAGTCTTGAAAATACATTAGAAAATTCTAGTCTTATTTTATAAAAAATATTTTAGAAGATTCTAGAAATATATTTTAAAAGTGTTATTTAGAGAATTTTAGAATATGTAATTAATGACTTTTATAAATGAAGATGGGAAAATATTCTATAGAGTTAACAATAGTCATTGGATTAAAACGTATTGGCATGATCATAATGAAAGTGTCACTAGTATAAATAGATGTGGTGTCTATGAATTTTATATGAAGAAAAATCAAGAAGAGTAAGTATAAAATAAAAGTGAATTTTATAAGTGTTCGTCTTCTCTTTTAAATTCTTCCTCTTACAATAACCTCTTATTTTCCAACATTTATCTAATTCCAAAGCAATCTCCTTTCTTCAAAGCATTTGAAGCATAAATCACTGAAAGTTCAAAAAAGGCAAGGTTGTTATAAAAGAGCGCCATGGAATAATTGACTAGAAATGAAGGTGGGCTTAAAAGAGATTGGGTAGGAGTTCCATTTGATCCAAATCCTACCCACAGGAGAATGATCAAAGTTGTGAACGCTATCCTCCTTACCAAATAACCTGTGATTATTGCAAAATCAAAGGCATTCAAGAGAACTCATCTGCAACTTGGCTTCCAAACTAACAAAGCTACATGTGGATATAGTAACGGTGATATAACAAATCTCATGTCACCATTCTGAAGGTTACTTCAGGTGGAGATACTTAACAATTAAGCGATTAACTTTGCTGAGCAGTTCATCCCTTCCCATGCAATTTCAACGGTTTGGCTTGATTCCAACAATTCTTCTTTTTTTTTTCTTTCTTTTTTTAAATTAATCAAGCCCAACCGCAAAATCATCACAGCTGGGATGGTGGTTAACTGCATGCTACAATAAACCCTACAGTTCACAGTAAGAAGATCTGCAACAGTGACCTTCCTACGGGAGTCTTAAAGATGAACTTCCTAGAAGCTGGGCTATCAATAAGTATACAGAAAAGTGTAATCCAAAATCAGTTGCCCTTTCTCTTGACACCAGGCTTATTCTTCCTCCGATGATCCTCGACATAAAGAAACGAGTCTACTTTTGATCGCTAAAGCGAAAATGTTTTTTCCTTTAAAAATAGTTTGGCAGGGAGCTATGGAGAAGAGAAGTGTTCGAAGTATAAAATTGAGTTCAATTTAAAAGAAAACAAAAACAAAAGAACTACAGATATCAGGCAACTATTTATGTTCCAAGCAAGTCAACAACTTCGAATTCCGTCAATATTTTCATAATTATTTAGTATTCACTATTAAATATTAGAGCATCATAAAGCACAAGATGAACTTTAGTGCAACCGTCTTCGGTCACTTTTCCTTTCGACACTACACCGACTCGACATAAATCCAAACAACATTTTATAGTTTCATAACCAAATACCAGAAGTGAAGGGAAAGTGGCAATATAAACCCCCTTTCAAAGCTTCATTTCCTTATCAATTCTTCTGCTTCTCCTTCTCCTCCACCTCCTCCTCCAGCTCAAAGGCTGAAACAGGAAACGAGCGAGAAAGCCCCGCGGGAGTCTTAAAGGTGATCTTCCCGGAAGCGGGATCATCAATATACATATCGGTGAGCGTAATCCAGATCAGTATTTCCTTACTCTTAACCCCGGTCATCTTCTTCATCCGCCGCTCCTCGACGAACGCCGTCACCTCAGGGGCGTACGAGACAAGCCGCCCGATCTTCTTGAAGTTGTGATCAGTGCGCTTCTTTTGCTTGAGCCAGACGAAACCGGTTTCGCGGTTGTATCCGACCTCCTCCATATCGTTCAGAGGGAGAAGTCCGCGAGGAAGGTGGACCAGCTCGAGGAGCTCAATCGATTTCTTCTTGCAGATTTCCTCTCCGTGGTAGATCTCGGCGCCTTCTCGGTGGGCTTCGATCGATTGCAGTGTCGCCATAGGATTAGGGTTTCAGACCTCGATTTGGGAAAGTTTGACAGAGGGCGGTGGAGAGAAGCGTTAGGGAGTGGAGCGTATATAGTGTGAAGAAGGACGGGTTCGGTTACGGAAATACCCCTGCGGGTAGTTGGGAATTACGTGGTTGTCATTAAAGAGAGAAGTGGACTTAAGGGTGAGGGTTGGAATTAGTTGGGGGAATTAAATGAAGGTAGTGAAAATACTGTAATGCCGCTGTACTTGGTTTTAAGTAAGAGCGCGGTTGGAAAGGTGTCCTCTTGGATTGGCAGCTAGTAGATATTTCTGTTAAAAAAAAAAAAGGCTAGTTTCGAGGAGAGATTATTACGTGCGGACGCTGAATATCTTTGGAGATGAATGAGAAGGTGACACGTCATGTAATGCACTGTGCATTATGGATGTGGTAACTCCTCATTCGCCTCTGAACGCATTATGTGTCCACACATAATAATTTTTTAGCTTTGAGCCACGGTACAGAAGTGGTAAGATCTACAGTTCTAATGCCGATCGGAACACATTTAATTTATTGATTGGAAGTTTTATTTATTAATGAAGAGATTTAAAATTTAAAATTCATGAATAAGATTAAATATCCTAAATATTCCAAAAAAAAAGCCAATCGGGATCCCCAAGATGCGTAACGTCTTTCTCGGAGCTTATGCACGCATTGGGAGCTTATATAATATTTAAAAAAATTTGGCATTTTGTTGGAATCTAACTACATAAGCTTTATATTTTAAACTAAGCATTCGAAAGGCAGCCAAAGCCAGTCTTAAATAAGAACTTTTATTCTATTCAGTGAACGTACGCAGAGGAAGATTCGGTTTTAGGCAAAAAAGCGTCTGTACCGAGTTTTTTTTCAATGTACCGAGTTTTTTCAAACTCGGTACAGGCGCTTTTTTGCCTAAAACCGAACCTTCATCTGCGTACGTTCAATGGATAGAATAAAAGAGCTTTCCTAAAAGGAGTTTAGGAGGTCCTATTTCTATTTGATCGGTTCAGTTTTCCATCTTTCAACTCATATGGTGATTTGATAATAATTTAAGTATTGCGTGCACAGAAATTGTACTTTTTGTATGAAAAAGTTAGAATGTGAGGTGGTGATGATGCTCATAATGTTTCGGTTTGTTATGATACCTCATGTGAGTAATAAATATAATAAAAGAGTGATAGCTGTGAGCATAAATGTGCCGAGCTGGCTCATAAATAAGGTCATTTCAAATTGCTAATTGGAGTTATCTGTTCACGAGCAAGAACTCTAGCCAAATTATAGTTAAAAGAGCTCAAGTTTCAATTAATGAGGCTTGTCTTGTTGGCTCATGAGCTAGTCAACTAATTCCCTTTTATTTTCTACCGTTTGATTGAAGAAATGTGAAGTCGTCGCTAGTCTCGCAAACTTCTTCAATCGCACTTAGTTTTGTCGATGCCTTCTCCAGCGAGCTCCTATCATGACTTACCTGCTAGTCCTGATGACTTCTAAAGCCAAGCTTTTTTCACGACTTTCCAAATGGTTTCATCGATGCCTTCTCTAGCAAGCTCCCATTACAAATTTCTAGCTAGTCGCTTTAATCCCTTAATTCTCAAACTATCTCAGATCGCAAGCTGACTCACATTTATTTCCATCAGTCACCTCTAGCAAATTCCTATCACAACATTCTTGCATTTGGAGTCGTCGATCTCATGAGTCAAGCTCAAGCTCAATGTTATTATGACGAGTCAACACAAGCTCATCTTATGACCTTATGCTCATTGTATGAGCTCAAACTCAAGTTTATGCCTAACATCTAGAAAGCAAGTCAAGCTCAAGTTTTCTATGAATTGCGCTCAACGGCTCATTTACACCTCTAGTGATAGTATTTTTAAATAACATGAATACTATTTTGTGCAGTTATAATCTTATTTATATGTGTATCATAAATTGTGGAAGGATCTACAACCTAATAATTTTTTGAAGTTATTTCTTCAAGGTCAATAAATAGGACTATAGGAGCATCTTTATTAACAAGATTTTATCAATAAATATTTCACATGGTGATTGCATTCATTTGAGGCTTTTATTAAAGCATGATAAAAAAGAATAAAGTGGAGGGTACCAATATAAATTATCAATCATCAGAAAAAATTCTATAGACTAAAATAGTAGGACAAAAAGCCAAGGAAATTTGAAAATGAACTTGATCTCTAGATTTTAATTGGGCTATTTTGTTTTTTCTTTTCTTAAGAATATTATTTTTGCTTATCTAACAAAGATTGTGAAAAAAGCAAATCTTGATTCATACCTTCAAACTAAGCCTTAAGGTTAAAGAGACCTAGCCATCAAATTAAGGAAAATATTGTTTCTATTTCTCATCTATAAGAATCAATCAAATAAAAAATCGAAGAGCGTAAGCAAGAAAAATAAAGCTCGAACAAAATAAAATGCAAGCAAAATAATTATTTTCAAATATATTCAAATATTATTTTCAAATTTTAATAAGTAGAATAATTTAATAATATTTAAATTTCTGAAAAGTAAATTTTTTTTAGGAAAATAGAAGTAAGATTTATAAGAAAAAATTAAACTAAAATTTGTTAAAGTTTATTGGCCACCTATAATCTTTGTAAGTCTTTAGAAAATTATTAGGCCTCCACAAACCTTTTTGAACCCTCCATTAGCATACAAAGTGCTCAGTCAATTAAAATTAATTATTTATAGGCTCCACAAAACTCTATTGGAACATTATTCAAACACAACCCTTGATCACATCAATGAAATAATTAATGAAAGAAACTCCTCAACACAACAGCCACCATGATTAATGCTTTATGTTGTACTTTAAAATAAGACCGCCGTTATATGAAAGTTAGCATTTTTTAGAGTATATAAGGAGATTATTGACATGTTGGTGCTCACTTACGAGGAAATTAATGAGGTGAATATATATATAACCTATATCATTTATCCAGGTCAACACTTAAGATTGTCATGGCCGCCCGAGGGATTCGAGGCCGGGACATGGGCTTTGCCCAACCGAGCACCCCCCACCCGAGCTAAGCCGTGGTGGGTAATGAGGTGAAAATAAGACCCAAAATGTTATAACTAGAAGAAGCTAAGAGTGTCCTCTCAACAAAAAATGAGAGAAAAGAACGACACTTAAACAAGAACATAAATAATGATATAAAAATAGCTTGGGTGGATTCAGATAGTTAAGGAGCAACTACAACATCCTTATATCAAGAGGCGGCAAATATCTATTTGATGGCTAATGAAAATCCACCAACAACGTAAAGGTTGAGGTAAACAATGTAATGATTTGTAATAAATTTCATGATACCTTGTCTAACGTCTTAAGTAATTTTTTGATAATTTTGAAAAGGAAGCATTATATATCAATGAAAAATCATATAAATTTTGATTCCATAATGAGCTTTAAGATGTCTCGAGTCTTGAAACATTTGTGGTGGTAGAGAAATGGAGAACTTAGCATCTTAGCTTTAAGCGAAAATCTAGCACACAAACAAATAAGAAAAGAGGGGTGCAAGAGTCATAAGAGATATCATACATTTTTTGTGAAAAATCTTGAAAAGGGAGAAAACTATGGGGCCTTGCCTAGCTAGTTGAAATGAATCCACTAGTCTTTTGTTGTTTATTACAAATGATGCCCTTCCTCGGGAGAAGGTGTTGGTTCAATGTAAAAAATATAAAGCACATTACATAGTAGTAGGTAGGTGACAGAGGTTTGAGGGACCCTAGTTAGTGTGCGATCACTATAGAAAATTCACTTAATACCGGCGGCTTGTTCTGGCGGTTATCATAAGCTTTCGGGCGGTTTTGGAATAAACCGACGGCTTTGCGGCGGTTTAAAAGCTTAGGTAAAAACCATGTAGGAAATCGTTTCCGGCAATTTTATACATTGGCAGTAGTTTTCATGCGATCATAACGCCTGTGACCACCGGTTATTTACCAGCGGCATACCGGCTGTTTAATCGCCGGTTTGGTCAGATTTTTCCGGCGGCCAAACATATAAAATTTCGTTGGTAACGAACCAGCGGTTCACCGACGGTCATAACCGAAGGAATTACTGGCGACGCCACCATCGGCATATCGCTGGAGAACTGTCGAAAACTGTCGATACGCCGCCGAAAACTACATACGGTTATAGTGATCTTCCGGCGCCTGATATTAGCCTTCCGGTATCGAGGATTTCGGTGGCTAAACCGTCGGTTGGCCCCCAAAAACCTGTAGCATTTAAAAAAAAAATTGTCAGCCTTTTCTCTATTTTAACTGAATTTCACAATAAACTTTAAACCTACACAGAAAATACAACAATTTTCATAAATATGGGCAACACGCCACTATAATCAATCACAAATATATTCATCAAAATAAATCAACTCATAATAAGTTCATAACCAAACTATAGGTCAAACCAAATAAGTTCATCATAAGTTTACACATAAGTTCATCAAATCAAATAAGTTTACAATAAGTTCATCATAAGTTCATCAAATAGAAAGAGTATTAATCCTCCTCCATGTCTTCGCTATCTGGTGATGCATGTCGCTGCTCTTGCTCTTGCGCTTTCTTCTTTTGATTTTCATCTCTGTAGGATCGCAGCTCTGCCTGTATCTCATTTTGAACCTTTCTCACCTCTTCTATCTCTCTCATTAGTGCTGCAACCCTCACTGCAACCCTCTAGCTTACACTTTCTTCAGCTCCACTAGGATCATAAAATGTTGAGGTAGATAAACTGCCCTCAAGTGCATAGCCTTCTAAACCCAAGCTATATACCCTCCCCCTCTGCCTTCCTCCAACAACATCTGACCATGTATGATACTTAGAATAATGGGTTGATCCTAAAGATGATCCCTCAACAGTGAACTGATGACTTTCCCGAGCTCATACAAAATCATCATGCGAGAATAAATCCATAAAATATAGTGATATTATAATGAGCTTTATTATAATAAATTTATGTTTCCAAACTCTAAAAAATTATACTCACATGAGCTTTTTTAGCCTTTTCATCAACCCACTGATGGTCAGCTTGATGTTGGTGAGTTCTCGTATACAA